TTCTACTCCCGTAAAGATTTACACCCTCGGAAACCCTGTACAGGGTCGCTATGAGTCGGTTCCGACTCCACGGCACATAACAACAACAACAATCTCATGGTCAGCAGTTTGAAACTACCAGCTGTTACGCCACAGAAAGATGAGGCTTTCTGCTCCCGAAAGATTTACAGCCTTGGAAATCCTGTACAGGGTCGCTATGAGTTGGAACTGACTCCATGGCACATTACAACAACAACATAGCCAGAGTGTGGCCCTTGGATGAGGTTCTTGCTGCTGTAGATAGCTGTACAACTTGTGCGGTGCTGACGTTACATGTTTAGCCACCATTCTTCACAGCAGAGCATATCAGAGTGACTGGGTCCAGAGAAGGTCCAGCGTTAGGTGCCACATTGAGGCCAGTCTTCTCTAAAGCACTGCAGGTCCTTGTGTCAAGCTTTGGTCAGCTCACCTCTCGATGTCAAATTTTATTTGGTCAGCGGTACCCAGAAAGATTTTCTGAATTTCAAATTCTGGGAGCTTTATTTCTTTTTCTACCAAAAGATCCTGGGCTCTTCACAGTCCGTGCCCTCTTCACAGCTTAGTATACCATGGAATCTCAATGAGATGCAGTTTTAACCAAGTAACAAAACTCTTCCTTTCAATTAGAGCTTAAATTCTGAGCCCTTGAGTGGTGTGGCATTGCAGGTTAATGTGCTGGACTGCAATGTCAGTTTAAACCACGAGGCCAGCAGTTTAAGCTCCCCAACCACTCCTCGGAGACCCTATACAGGGTCATTATGAGTCGGAACCAGCTCGACGGCATTTAACAACAGTTTACAGTGGAGGCCCTAAATCCATTTTGAGTTTTGACATAAATTCAGCCTCTTTAGAGTTCTTTCTGATCACTAATTAGCAATGAGTCCTGTAAATGTTCCCAATCTACAATAGTGTACATATCCAAATCATGGTCCCTTTCCCACGTCCACAGTTATGTTGTGACTGTAAAGTGATCTGCCACCAATCATGATCTTGTGTTGAATTTCTTTTTTTCCATCTTCTATACTTGGTCAAAACATAACAATCATGAGGATGGTACACCCCAGGGCAGTGTTTCCTTCTGTTGTGGGTAGGGTTGCTATAAGTCAGAACCAACTCAAAAGCACCTAACAACAACAACGTAATTGGTCACATGACTATGAGTCCTTTGGACACCATTATGACCTCATGCTGATGGTGTTTCTCATCCAGATCATTTGTCTTTGTTTTGTTTAAGATTTAATAAAGGGGCTTCCATAAAATATACTGGATTTGGGGGTCTTTCCCCCCCTAAAATACCTTCAGGATAAAGGCTGTTTGTATGTTTGACATTGGTATACTGAAATAAGCCAGTTAGAGGACTTTGCAGAATAAAGAAAATCTGCTCTTAGATGACTACATCTCTGCTTATACAAAGCAGCAGCTTCTGCAGTTTAAAAAAAGTAAAACGAAAAAAAAGCTCTCATTTCCCAGTACCCCGCATTGTGAACAATTTCTGCTTGTCAGATTGGTCTCTTCTATGTCCCCAAATCTCTGCTTTTGTATTTTGCACCTTTCTGTCCTTTATTTTAAACTTTCCTCTCGCAGTATTTTTCAATTCGATTTTTTCTTTAAGGGCCAATCCAAGACCATATCATTAGCAAATTAAATCATAATCAATTATTCTCTAATTCTTTCACAAATATTAGGCTTTACTGTTTACTGGTGTACACATTTTTTGAGGGCAGAAATCCTATCTTCCTTGTAAATTCTTCAGCACGTAGCATTCAATATACAGTTCATGAGAGAGTGACATATGGGTAGGCAAATACCTTTGTAACCAATGATACTTGAATTCTCATTCAAGTGGATGCAACATAAAAGCTTAGACTTTTCTGAAGTGTATGAAGATTACCATTGTATATATTGTAAGTGTTTTCATTTTAAAACATTTTCACCAACATACATTTTGAAAAGAAAATTTTATTCTTAAGTTAACAGACAGAAAAAACAATTTTATTTTAAGCATTTCTAAATTAGTATTCAGAATTTTTACATGTAACTTTAATCTTTCTGAAAAGATCTTTAATTCTCTAAAAGGTAAAAATTGTGTTGCCTATATTACCCAAAATTGTAAATTTTCTAATTGCCTTCCTCTTTATATTCCCAGTAGAGTATATGTACATCAGAAACACATTTTTAAAATTAATTTCAACTTGTCAGAAAACTAAATGATTCAAACTTCGACTTAATTTAGTGCTTCCTTTCTGTTGCTACAAAGGTGAATGTTTAGTTTAATGCTGTAAATAAAAAGAGCTATCTGTGTCTATCCTAAAAACATTCCATCCTAACTTAAACTTATCCCTCTTTTGGAAATACATACACCCCAGTACGTAACGGTAATATACCCCAGACTTGTGTTGGAGGGGACAGCAAATCTGAACTCTTAGACTTTTGGTCTGCTGAGTGGCTCACTTTGAAATGCTAAAGTGAAGGAATTAGGTACACATCCCCCAACTGCTTTCTACTAGGTAGAGCCATCTGTCTGCATCTATGAAGAGATGTCAAAAAGATTGTAGAAAAATGGAATGAAAAGATAATGTATTTTTTTTTATAACCCCTGCATTATCCATCTGTTGAAAATATATATTCCTGAACTGACATCCAATGCATACTTCTCTAAATCAGGAACCTTTAAGATAAATATAAGATTTAAATATCTTTTGCTGAATTTCCTTAATAACATGTGAAAAAAACAAAGTCTTATTTCAAGATCTGAAATTTAAAACTGCTTTTCCATGTCTTCAGCTCCTAATAAGCACTAAGAAGCAATTTGCATCAATTCGCCACCTACTCCTTGGCATCCCCAATTCCTCCAGCAGTTATTGCGAAGGTGGCTTCATTTTCAGGCATCTCGGGGCTAGCAGAATACAAGGGAACAGAAGTTTATAAAAAGCTCGATTTCTATAAATACTGTATTCATGTCACAGTCATCATGCTCCCATCAGTCTGAGTCTCCAGAGACATCTTAGAGTTGGTGTAGCTAAATGTGGACGATAGAGAGTTTACTTACAAGTATTATCAACCCTCACATACATCGATTGAGCAAATTCTGTGTGTATGGTTTTAAATGCCAAGAAAAAATTATCTCAAACTTGGAAAAAGGCAAAAGGATAAGTGGTATCCTTTCAATGCAATGCCAGGCATTGTCTAGACCACCCTAGGGGATGATCTAATTCTACGGGCATGTGACCTTTCTAACTGAATAGGCTAATGTACTTCTAAAATCAGCCAAAGAACAGTCTGTGGATCACAATGGATGCATAGACCCAGCAGTGTTTTCTTCTGTTGTGCAGAGAGTCGCCACGAGTTAGAGGCCAACCTGATGACAACAGACAACAGACTAACATAGGAGAAAATTGTGGCAGACCATGAAGTAGACTAAAAGATTACTGATCTCTTCAGTGGTAACAAAGGTTGTCCAATTTTATGACAGCCCTGTGTCCTCCGTAGTGTTGAACTATTTCGTAACTCTAAGTTTTGGAAAATTATAAGGATTAAAATGTTTCTTGCCCATAGAAATGTAAATTGTGTGTGGTAGAAGTAACTGATAATTGTCCAATAGATACTGACCTGTTTTTGAAAAAAATTTAAATATATTTATAATTCACGGTGGCATCACTAGAGGGGCTTGGAGGGTGCAGATCTTACTAGGTGAACTGTCAGAGGGGATGACACCAAAAGGACTGTCTATAAAATGTTTGTATAATGTTGCAGAAGAAATTCACGATTTATAAAAATATCCCTATAGTCAGATACAATAAAAAATACATTTTTTTTGTAGGCCCAGATTACATGTATCAATATACCTACAAGGCTAAAACTCCATGTTAATTTATTTTTGATCCTTCTAATGAGGTCTCCATCACTCGTCTATCAGTTTGTCGTACTGTGGTAGCTTGTGAGTTGCTGTGATTCTGGAAGCTATGCCACCAGTATTTTAAATACCAGCAGGGTCACCCATGGTGAACATGTTTCAGATGAGTTTCCAGATGAAGACAGACTAGGAAGAGGGAGTGACGAACTACTTCCAAATATTTAGTCACTGAAAACCTTATGAATAGCAGAAAAACGCTGTCAGATATAGTGCCAGAAATGAGCCCCTCAGGTTAGAAGGCACTCAAATTGCGACTGGGGAAGAGCTGTCTCCTCAAAGTAGAGTTGACCGTGATGCTGCAAATGGAGTAAAGCCTATGGGAGAAAAGCCCGTGACTTTCATTTGCTGATGGGGCACAACTCAAAATGAAGAGAAACAGCTGTAAACATCCATTGAAAATCGGAACATGGAATGTATGAAGTATGAATCTGGGAAAATTGGAAGTTGTCAAAAATGAAATGGAACACATCAAAATCGATATCTTAGCATTAGTGAGCTGAAATGGACTGGTATTGGCCATTTTGAATCTGATGACCACATGGTTTACTATGCTGGGAATGACAAATTGAAGAGGAATGGCGTTGCATTCATTGTTAAAAAGAACATATCCAGATCAGTCATGAGGTACAATGCTATCAGTGATAGGATAATATCCATGTGCCTACAGGGAAGCCCAGTTAATATCAC